AATCTAAAAAAAAAGTAAAATTGAAAAAAAAAACAGAATTACGTTATTTTCTACGTAAACATTTAGATTCTGAACTATAAACACTGGAATATGAATAATTAGTGTTTAAATAAAAAAAATTGCTAATTCAGTCATGGTAAAATTAACATGGGAAAATACTAACATGAAATAAACACTCTTCGATTGTAAAAGAAAGAATCTCTATGTACTTTCACTCCGAAAAGTGCATGCAGTCGAAAAATGTTTACTTCAAACGATGTTAATAGAACCATCGTTAGAAACACCCCACACCATAAAAATATTATTTGCTCCCTTGTGATACTATCTCCTATTCTATTTGATACACTTCTAATTCTATCCAACGCAATCTTGTGTCATTGACCCAAGATTTAATTATTGTTGGTACAACACTTGTACAAATGCGGAGTGGGTCTTTGAATTGTCGGCAATGTTCTAAGACAAAGCCACTAAAAAGTAAACATGACTAGACACTGGCCGGTCCACGTAATCGAAGTGACGTTCCATGTTTGAAATCATACTTTCACTTTCAGCTGCGCCGGCGCACCGCGTTGCATGGCCGTGTCGCGTGTACGCAGCACCGTGCCTACCGCACGTCCTCGTCGCTCGTCTATGCGGAAGCCATTGCATTCGAAAACTTTTACTTATTTTTTTTTTATTATATCACAATCTCGGTCAAGTGCGGTATCCTAGCCTTGACTTTTTGTTACTTGCGCAGTCAATACTAAAAGAAAATAAGAAATCATTTAAATACTACTTAATTGATTTTTAATCATAGGCCAGTTAATAGAGCTTGTATCCTTTTTTATTTTTATTATTTTTGAAAAAAGAACTATTTCAGTATTTATAAAAAATAATTGTACCAGAGAGTAAACATTTGTAATTAAAAAAAAAAGTATTATAATTTAAAATTAGTCTACAATTAATGAAGACGTTAGAACACACACAATAGAGTCCATTTTAGAACATCTGTCTTTTTTTTGTAACCCGTCAATAAATGGAGTACTTACCTACCCTAACGTTCACTGCGACCTGCGACAGACTTTTTAAATGCAATACACAATAGTAATACACCAGTGAAAGTATATCTTATAAGTCATTAACATGTGATACGAACATTTATTAAAGAACTAGGTATAGAGTCGCATCTCTAAACGAAAGTATTTGACGTTGCGCTTTACGAAAAGCTACCGCGACCGTACACGAATTTAAGTCGTAACTGGTGACGTTAAGAATTATAATCGTACACGTAATGTACCGTAATATTCGAAACTGCGAATGTACCGAATCATCTAATAATTATCGTAGGAAAGCGAGTGTACGAATGACACGCGAGCTTGTAAATGTTTAATAAATTGGCCGCTGCAGTAGTCGATTACAGAAATATGAAATTTATTTTTTATTTATGCGTTGGGGATTTCGATTTTTTTTTTATACAGCCAACAAACTGTACAAATCAGAGGGCCTACCACGAAATATTTTCCGAAACTTCGGGACAGAACGAAATAAAAATTTCATGTTGAAATTACAATATAATATACAATAAAAATGTTACAATATCGTTCCTTAAGACTATTATGGTAGGATTTATGACGAACGAAATGTTAAGCTCGATTAACTGAGCCGATTCCGATATGAACGGAAACACGAAATTGAGCCCGAATATTCGGAATTTCATGGTAGACCCCCAGATTACATAACAGACTTTTTTCCACGTAAAATTGTTACTGCTTGGTGTATTAAAATATAAATGGTAGCACAGTATTCATGTTTTTTAACATCAGCAATATATCTTCCATCTGCCTAATATCGCGACTTTCAAAAAAGATAAATTGTTAAATAGAAATTCAATCGTTGAATCATCAGAGGGAGATTTTGGACAAAAGTCGTTTGCTTGGGTACCTCTGTCCCATTCGTGTTTCTACCGTGAAGCAGTTGTGTTTGCCCAACTGTGTTTCAGTTTGGCGAGTGGAATATGGCGTTTAATTTACAGGGTACAAAGGAATAACACCTGAGTCCTCAGGAATGGCAACGCATGGAGGGTATCATGAGCGAAACAGTATACTCCGTTATGTCCATGGTACTGCTCATGTCTATAGGTGACGGTTACCGTTTTCTATCAGGTGGGCCGTCAGCTTGTTTGCCATTATAAATTGTAATATACATATATATAAACAAATCTGAAACAAATGGCCTATAACCTATCTATGGTCTACATATGGCCAAATAACCTTCATATAAATAATTAATTTAATTTTCTTCATCTGATATTTTCAATAATTACATTACACTTATTTTCCTTAGCCTGTCGTCTGATATAGTTTCTCTTTAGAATAAGGACTGTTTTAGCGCCTTTTTTAAATTCTTTTTTTTTTTATGAATGCTTACAGTGTTGCTATATACAAGTTTATTAACCTACAATTTATCTTATAATTTAGTATTTATTTATCCATCTATCTAGAGAACTGAGTGCTCTTATATTATTTACATTGATAATGCCAAGGTTGCTCTGCGTAGCAAGTTTGTTTTGATAAAATACTTTATCTTCTTCTTCTTCTGCTTAGTTTTTTTTATGCAACTTAGAACGACAAACAAGCTGACGGCCCACCTGATGGAAAGTGGCAACCTTCGCCTGTAGACATGAGCTGTACCATGGACATAACAGAGTATACTGTTTCGCCCATAATACCTCCCATGCGTTGCCATTCCTGAGGACTCAGGTGTTATTCCTTTGTACCATGTAAATTAATGTTTTTAATCCTGCTTAATGATACCAGGATCTAACTTTAGACACAATTTCCTCCACTTGTCTCAGTTTTTCTTTATGAGTTTATTAGTTGCCATATCTTGGTGTTAAAATCTACCATTATCCCAATAATGAAGTACCACGTTCGTGATTCACTGTTCATCCCAAAGGTTGACTGGTAGATAATGCTACTAGCATTAAGTCCGCCTTTTATACCATATTTATGTATTCCATATATATTTATTTATTTTTACCAGAGGGAGACTGTACAAAAGTCGATTGCTTGGGTACCTCTGTCCCATTCGTGTTTCAACCGTGAAGCAGTTGTGTTTGCATGGCTGTGTTTCGGTTTGAACGGTGGGATATGGCGTGAATTTACTGTGTACAGAGGAATAACATATGAGTCCTCAGGAATGGCAACGCATGGGTGGTATCATGGATGAAACAGTATACTCTGTTATGTCCATGGTACTGCTCATGTCTATAGGCGAGGGTTACCACTTTCCATCAGGTGGACCATCAGCTTGTTTGCCATTCTAAGTTGTATAAAAAAAATAGCAAATAATTGGATGCTATATAATCTTGAGATTACAATTGTAATAATATTTCTTTATTATTTATATATATATAACAATATGGCATGTCTACATACAGAGATACGTTACGGGTTTATCTGTGTACAACCATTTGCTATCATATTAAATATAATCTTTACTTATAAACCGATTTTTTTTATTAAACCTAATAATATAAAGTGACTGTCTATCGTTCATATTTTAGCTATTAAAACATACATTCGATGATTTTTTCCATTCAGTTACCTAATTTTAATACGAATATAGATTATTACAAACATCAGATGCTTACACAAGTGTACAGCTAAATATAATATATCCAGTAAAAATAGTTTGCGGTCCGCAAATTCAGTAACAATTGTGTCAACTTACATGTCTATAAAAAGACACCATTAAGCCGTGGCACCGCCAAATTGTGTCAATTTAAATATAGGAATTCGATTTTTTTATCCATGTTCATGTCACCGTAAAAACTCTGAACTGGTTAAAAATGCTTTTGGCTGCATAATAGAATGAAAGATTTTGTGGAGTTAGCGCTTTGTACTAGGTAGAAAAAACTTTTTCCAGCCAATTGAGAATTTTGACTGTAACATAAATGTATAAATAAAAGGTAAAACTTGTAGTGCCAATATATCCCAAATACTTTTGTTTTTAGATAGAGAAAACAAGAAATATTTTTTTTTTTTGTCTTTTCAAACCCAATGTTTTATTAAAATGTTTATATAAAATATATACTTAGACATGTTCGTTACATAATTAAATATAATATTTATAATAAATTAGAAATATTTAAAAGGAAAATATATTAGGAGGTGAAACTATGAAAGTACACGCTTGCATATGTTATAACATAACAAAATTTCCTCTGTTCATTTACCAACCATAATAAATAATACACGAAAAGCAAATACTTGTTTTGTAAAAGGGCTTTCTGATGAAGTTTATATATCAAACTTGATCGAACTCTGTTGCTGCGCAATTCTCAGATAAACCCACAAGGCCAATTCCTAAATAATAACTTTGTATAAATACAACGTTACTCATCCTCTTGGCACACTTTTGGATATAACAGTGTCGTACGTATTTCAAATGAAATAAGCACCTTTGCATAATTGACAAGAACCTGTCACTCCTTCGGGCGTATTTCACATGTAAATAGGCGTATGTGTAGCTAGATACCCAATAACTTTATCGCGTTCAATCGACAAGTATGTATTTATATACCAATATGGTAGATAATAGATAGGTATATATAAATACCTATTTATATACAACGTAGTATATTTTTACAGTAGATAATATATCGTAAATAAACATAAATAATAAGTGAACTGTTGTCCATTACAGCAAGTGTTTTCTAGAATTGCAGTTAATGAACGTAATTAACATGCATTAATTAAAAACTTTAAAAAGTATTCATGAATAATTTGAGAAATTTTGATTTCGAACGAAACTTTCCTTTTCACGTAAATTGGTTCGATTATATTTTTATCAATAATATAACAATATTAAATTAATAGCGTTCAAGTTTTTTTTTTAAATTACGCAACGAAATACAATTTTAATGAATTATTTGGGAGAGATCGTAAAGAAAACCTTTCATTTAAGTTTATTTACGATATACGTTAAAAAGTAAAAAAAAAAAAAATAGTCGCACTTACCGAGTCCAAAACGCAATCCAAAAGTTTACAGATCCGTCTTTATGCACCACAAAAATAAAAAATAAAATATATATCCATATAATATAACTAAGTTTGTCAACGTAAAACAAAATTCCATTCACTGCAACACTCCTGTCACTGTCAGCGATTTTTCAATTTGAGAACACACACGATTCCAATTTCAAAATATTATTCCACGCGAAGGCTGCGCTCGTCGAGCGCGTTCTACGCACGCGCACGGTACACGTCCGTCCAAACAGCACCGCGGCCCACAAGTCACTGAACTAGCTTCTCACTCACCGCGCCCCCGTCGTCAACCGGTGGATGCTCGAGTATATTTTTATTATGGTTCCTAAACGAGTGTTATCATTGACAAGCCCCAAAATGGTTGTGAATTTACAGAATTAGGTCAGCCGACGACGGCCATTCACGTGAGGATCCAGATGTTCGTTTTCCAAATTCGATGTCACGTGTCATTTGCTTATATATTCACGTAGTTTTTTTTTATGAGTGATAATGAAATGGTAACCCCGCCTGCACTATCGGCATACACCGGCGGTCAGTTAGCCCATCGAATTCAACAACAATTATTTACGATGGTTTCCAGGAGGAACCACGTGGAGGTCTACCTAATAGAGTATATTGCCAGCAATGGGGCTGTCAAACTCCATTACTAACAATCCCTTTCCCCCCATATATTCATATGGTGTCAGGGTAAGGATATAATCTTCTGAGAATTAATCTAACATTAGTCCATTCAATTCCTAGAGTATCATAAAAGATGATTAGGAGAATTCAATACAATACAATAGAACAGAAAAAGGAGAGCCTCTAAATGTTTAACACCAATTCCAAGTCAACGGGACAACATACCTCAGCAGGCTCATGTCTCTCATAAACACACACCACGAGAAATATTGCTAATGTGAGGCCTGGGGGGAAGGGATTGTTAGTAATGGGGAGGTTAATCCACATTGCTATCAATATAACCTATCAGGTTGACCTCCACGTGGTTACCCCCGGAAACTATCGTACTAATTTATCGTTGAATTCGTCATGGTGGACAAATTGACCTGCCTTTTCATCCTCACCCATCACCTCTCACTGGTACCCCGTCAGTGTATACCGATGGCGCAGGCGAAAAAAGGCGCAGACAGGCAGGTAAAAAAAATGTGGAGGCTAGCTTTTAAAATTCTTTGGACACATTTTATAATATAATATTTGTATAATTTTGTCAATTGATTTATTTAGTATTGTAGCACCAGAATCTCGTAGGGGAACTCATTCCATAACCTACATGCGGAAGAAACCATCGGGATACACATACAGTAAACGTATGCCATGCATCCAAAAATGATAGATAGATTCTTCATTACCAACAACAAATACTGTCGATGAATAGTCTTATCCCAACCAGTCTAGAACAACATCTCAGACGGTCGGGATTCCAAGGCGGCTTACTCCCGGGAAAGATGCAAAAAGCGGTGCTCTTAGATACTGCTCGCATTGTACGCCTGATTCTCTCCCTTAAGAGCGGATATGTCAATTTTCTAAAAATTTAAAAATAATAATAATTAATGTTAATGAACAGTCTTATAGCGGTACTTTTAGATTCTACCCGCATTACGCCGGTTTCTCTCCCCGGGGGCCCTAAACCTCGGCCGACTGTGCTTCTGTTGGCATGATATCTCAGGTATTACAACGTAAGGTAACATTTTACCATTAAAAGGCTAAATGCTTATTTGTTACCATTATAATATAAAAAGACCACATCAAAACGATTTGACCAGATTTGAAAAAAGAGAAACCCCATAACCAGCTACGAAATGTTTTATCACGATAATAATGATGTTACATCATTGATGATGAAGTTAGATAAGTACTTAATTAGAACGTTAATACAAAACAAAACAGAGTTGAGCGAAACAGAGCAGTGCAGAGGCAGGGGAATTTGGTATTAAATAAAAGAGTAGGTTTCTTATAGTGCAACGTAATTATTAAGTTATAGACAATCTCAGCGAGTACAAGAGAAGGCCATTACAAAAAAAAACAGTGTTGCCATAGACAGTAAATCAAAAGGAACTAAGAGAGAGTGATAATAGTTTTTAAATAAAGTGGCTACTACATTTACAACTTAACAAGTTGATTTTTTTATTTTTTTCTAGAAAATTCACTTTTCAATCAAACATCACACGGCTTGTTTCTAGAAATTAAACATTTAATATATGTCAAACGTTAAAAAAATATTAAGACAAGCTTATTATTTCTCATTATTGACACAGATGCCATTTCTGTGACGTTCACACCTTATTTACGTGTTCAGTTTCATTTTTACATATTAAATGAAATTGCTGAAAGTATTTGGATCATTTGATCGAAATGAATTCGATTTTGATTTTTTTTTTCATCTCTAATGGCCTTTATAAACACACTTTTCAAAAAAGAACTGAAATTATTAATACTCCGACAGTAATGTATTTATCATTATTATTTATTATTTAGGGATTACTATTTTACAAACACATGTTTTTTGGGAATTAATATAATAAAAAGATTTTGTTATAAGTACAGATCTCCTAAGAATATTAATTACAAAACTGTTTAAAACAAGTTTTTACCCGTGACTTCGTCCGAGAGACCAAGGTATGAACACTGAGAATAAAATGTAACCTATGTACTACAGCACCCCATATTGTACTTGTATACGAAATTTCATGGTGATCAATTAAACTGTATCCGCACTCCCATTGTATCCACATTAGCTATTTTACCGCCAGAGTCTAACAATAGCTGTATAGTCAGTGTTCAATTATTACTTATAATATATTTGTTAAAGAATTGTTTTGTATTTTTATTATCTAGGTCCTGTAAGGTCCTATAACAAAATGCAATTTAATCGATTTATCTTCAATACATAAATCGATTAAAAATACATTAAACTGCCACTTTTGGCAAACAAGTTTACAATCATCTAATAGAAAACGATTACCATAGTAGTTGTAATATACGTTACTGACTTTAAGAAGCTTTAACAGGTCTTTTTTCAAAGAAATCTCTATACAAAACCTCAGCAGGAAGTTTATTTCATAGCCTGAACTATCGCGGGAGGAAACTACTTTAAAATCGCATTGTACGCGACCATTTCTAGGTTCTAGAATGTGAAGATTAATTTCCTGTCGATTGCGAGCAGTGCGATGAGTAAAGGTGGCCGTGAACATCATCTTAAACAATTTATCAGAACATAATCCGTTATACAAGCGGTAGAGCAAACAAAGTGTGTGTATATTTCGTGTTAAAGAAAGATAATCAGTTGTCAAAATATTATTGTGTGCAGCATTCATTAGCGAATAAAGTACCAATTATAATGTGTACAAGTAATCACCGATTATAGGCGAGGACGTACGAACAGGGCCGAGCCCGCCACGGGATTTGCCGAGCGACTCCGGCCGCAGCCGATCGCTCGCGGCCGCCAGCGAGGTCGCACCGCGGGAAGCGCGTCATTCAAGGTGAATTCTTTTCCCGCCAAACTACGTCATGGTGACTTTGTGTCTAATCTGTGAGTTTTGTATTGTGTTGCCATTTTATTAATTAAATAATATTCAACAATTGTAATCTACAAAAAGTCACTGTTCAATCTTAACTCCATTGTTTCGATTTTCATGTCGCATTCTCAATAAATATGCGGGGAGTTTTTCATTGAAAACATAATGACATCATTTTATTTACGGCGGAACATTTCGATGTAAATTTGAATTGTATAACTAATGTTGAATAACGGAATAAAATAAATAGTAATGGGTAAATATAAAATAACGATTGCAGTAGCTATGGCTCGGTGATTTGTTCTTCTTGATTGATGATTGGTTTGTTGATGAATGATTGATTTGGTGATTGATTCTGTCTTCATTAAGCAAACTAAATTTCATACTATAAGTTCGTCATCACCGATGTCTGCAGATGCTCATCACTGAGGACCAAAGATGATTTCAAATGATAGGAAAAACAATACTGAATATTGGACACTTTTTGAAAAGATATAAACATTTAAATTCATTTAGATATAAACACATTAAATGCAATTCAAGTAAAATAAAAACTTATATTAGTAATCCCAAATTCATATTAACATCATCATCATCATATCAGCTTTTAACTGTCCACTGCTGAACATAAGCCTCCCTCTTGCAAGAATTTACCATTGTACAACCCGCCATAAACTAAAATTTCATCCCAACCATCTGGACGAGTGGCGGTCTTCCATCGTGCGTTTATCAAGGCACTTTCTTCCACGCACAACCACTCTTTGGAATCAACTTCCAGCAACAGTATTTCCGAACCGATACGACAACATAACCTTCAAGAAAAGAGCATATTCATTTTTAAAAGGCCGGCAGCACACCTGCAATGCCGTTGGTGTTGGCGGGTGATCATGGGCGGCGGTAGTCACTTACCATAAAGTGAGCCGCATGCTCGTTCGCCCCATGTTGTATAAAAAAAAAATATTTCGCTTGGCAGGCGGATTAGCAACCGCGGTTAGGCTTTGGAGGTGTTTTAGATAGGAAAATTAAAATAAATTAATCAACTGAAATATTAAATTATACACAAATTTATATAATTAATAAAAATAAGTAACTCAGATGTTAACCAAGCAGGCTCCCAATATCAGATATCTGATAATATCTCAATCTAGGATATCTAACATTAGATACTCTACTTAACACAGTCTGTGAAAACTATTTAAAGACTTCTATTTTTAAATCTCATCAAAATGAATTCAAAACAAAGAATTAAAAATTAAAGATTTTTTTATTTCTTTAAATATGTTTTAAGGCCTTGTCATGTAATAATTAATATTCAAAACATAAATGTGTAATAAGTTTACTACTGTAATCTTTTAGAGGAAACAATAAAGAGTATCTATCTATTTAAGAAACTATATATGTATATATGTATGTATATATATGTATTTAGAAACTTGAAAAATCAATAAATATAGGTATTATATAATCGAAATAGCGACTGCAGTTCATGGGAACAATGAAAGTGTTGAGAACACGAGAAACACGCCAATCTTTCTTTATATCACTTGTAAGTGCAAGAATTTATGAAGTCTATTAAGTAGTTTTCGAATTTATCCATTTCAAACAAACAATCAAATCTTTATTAATTAATCTGTATACTTCTGACATATTTTATAAGTAAAAAAAAAAATATTATAGTAATTTAAATAAACAAATTAAAAGTTTAAATATTAAATATTTTTTAATTATTATTGAATATTGCTATAT